CTCCATTAAATTGCTTTTGAACCTTTGTCAAAAATCAGTTCAGGGGCGCCTGGATGGCTCAGTCAGTTAAATGTCCCATTCTTGATTTCAGCTCAGGTCATGATCTCAGAGTTGTGAGATGGAGCCCCGAGGGGCTCCACACTAGTTGTGGAGCCTGCTTAAGATTTTCTCTCCCTCTCCCTTTGCTCCTCTTCCCCTGGTTTCTCTCCCTCTAAAAAAAAAAAAAAGGAAAAAGAAAAAAATAAGTTCAGATATCTGACAAGGACTTGTATCCAGAATATGTAAAAAACACTTACAACTGACTAACACAAATACAAATAACAATTTAAAAATGGACAAAGGATTTGAATAGACATTTCTCCAAAGAAGATACACAAATGCTCCAAAAGCACATGAAAAGGTGCTCTACATTCATAGCCCTTGAGAAATACAAATCAAACCACAGTGGCATACCACTTAACACCCACTAGGATGGCTAAAATCAAAGTTAGATCAAGTGTTGGTAAGGATGTGGAGAAATTTAACTCTCATAATGTTGCTGGTGAGAATTTAAAATGATGCAGCTACTTTGGAAAACATTCTAGAAGTTCCCTAAAAAGCTAAGCATAGAGTTACCATATGATCCCAGCAATTTCAGTCCTATGTATATACTTAAGAAAAAGGAAAACTTACATACATGCAAAAGTTAGTGCACAAATGTTCATAGCAACATTATTCATAGTAGCCAAAGAGTGGAAACAACCCAAGTGCCCATATTATTCAGCCATAAAAAATGATAAAAGTAATAAAGTGCCAATATACATGCTACATGAATGAACCTTGAAAACATTACATTATGTGAGAGAAACCAGTCACAAAGGACCATATATTGTATGAGTCTACTTATATGAAATAACCAGAATACACAAATTCATAGAGACAGAAAGCATTTTAGTGGTTGCTTAGGGCTGATGGGAGGAGATAAAGAATGACCACTAGTGGATACAAGATTTCTTTTTGTGGTAACAAAAATACTTTATAGTTAGACTGTGGTGAGTTACACAACCCTATGAATATAATAAAAAAAACATTAAATTGTACACTTTGAATAGGCAAATTGCATGGTGTGTGAATTATATCTCAATACAATTGTTAAAAATTGTTAAACATTGTTGAAATTGTTAAAAATTAGTTGAGGGGCGCCTGGGTGGCTCAGTCAGTTAAACATCCCATTCTTGATTTCAGCTCAGGTCATGATCTCAGTTGTGGGAGCAAGCCCCACATGGGGCTCTGCACTGGACATGGAGCTTGTTTAGGATTCTCTCTCCCTCTCCTTCTGCCCCTGCCCTGCTTGCACTTGTGCACACTCTCTCTCTAACGAAAAATAATAACTAAAAATAAAAATTAGTTGAGCATATTTGTGTGGGCTTACTTCTGGATTCTCTTTTGTTCCATTGACCTATGTTTATATCCCTTTGTCTATGCTACATGGTCTTTTTTTTTTTTTTAAGATTTTATTTATTTGACAGAGAGAGACACAGGGAGAGAGGGAACACAAGCAGGGGGAGTGGGAGAGGGAGAAGCAGGCTTCCCGCTGAGCAGGGACCCCAATGTGGGGCTCGATCCCAGGACCCTAGGATCATGACCTGAGCCGAAGGCAGACACTTAACGACTGAGCCACCCAGGCGCCCCTATGCTACATGGTCTTGATTATATACATTGTCTTGTACCGTTGGAGTAAGTATTGATATTGGGTAATTTCTCCCACTTTGTTCTTCTTTGTCAAAATTATTTTAGCTATTTTAGAGCATGCTTTTCCATGTAAATTTTAGAAAAAGCTTATCTGTCTACAAAAGACTTTGCTTTTATCTCCTTCTATTTGGTTTGGGTTCGTTTTTGCTCTTCCAGTTTCTTGATGTAGGAACCTTTCCTTATTTCTAATGTAAGCATTTAGTGCTATAAAATTCCCTCTTAGCACTGCTTTAAATGCATCAAACATACTTTAAGTTATTGTAAAGACAACCTACACTCTTCCTCTTGTGTTTCTCCTTTACTACGCGTCTCAGTATACTGATACCAGAAATGTGAGGGCTTCCCCCCCCAATTCTGCAATTCTGCAACACCAGCTGAATGCCCTACAATTTAACTCAGTTCTGACACTATCTACCTGAAGATGGCATCAGATCGCACAGATTAAGGGCTCAAGTCCCAGTAATTACCTGTGCTTCTGACTAATCAGCTATAAATTGCAGGTTCCCATGACCCCCTCCTTGAGTTTGATTAATTCTTTAGAATGGCTTACAGAACTCAGAAGTTTACTATTTATCAGTTTATTATAAAAAGATATGATAAAGGATACAGATAAACTTCCAGATGAAGAGATGCCTAGGGTACAGTATACAGAAAAGGCCCTTTTCCTGTACATAGACAGCCATCTTAGTCTGCTCTCACGTGGTAGAAAGTATAAGGTCCGGGGCCCTTGTTACAAGGGCATTAATACCATTCATGAGGGCTCCACCTTCATGACTTTATCATCTCCCAAAGGCCCCTCCTCCTAATACAATCACATTGGGGATTAGCTTTCAACACATGAATTTTAAGGGACATAAACATTCAGTCTATAGCACTGAGCAAATACATTCTGTTCACCAGGAAAGAAAAACTCTATATGGAAGGTAGCCTCAGATGGTTTTCGCATATGAGGCAGAGAGGAGTTAAGGATGCCGCTCACATTTCTAGTATGAGTAGGCAGTGGTGGCAGATGGTTTAGTTGCACAACTCTGTAAGTCTGGTTAAAACATACACACAGTTCAGGGCAGCTGGGTGACTCCCTTGGTTGAGTGTCTTGACTCTAGATTTCGGCTCAGGTCATGATCCCAGGATCATGAAACTGAGCTTTGCCTTAGGCTCTGCGTTCAGCAGGGAGTCTGCATGAGCTTCTTTCCCTCTGCCCCTTCCTCTGCTCCTCTCTCTCTCTTTAATAAATAAATAAATCTTTAAAAAAATACACACAATTCTCTGAAATAAGGTTATGCAATCATAGAGTGAAAGGGGGAGAGGGAGAAAGAGAATTTTAAGCAGGCTCCATGCCCAGCTCAACCAACTGAGCCACCCAGGTGTCCCTACTCATTCTTTTAAAATAGCCATGTAGTATCTACAATTAATAATTTATAGATTGTGAGGAAAACTTTAATAAATCTTCAAAGTACAAATACTACAGGTAACATTGATTCATCACACTTGACAGCATAACAAACTGCAAACAGATTGAAGTACTTGCATTTTTAAATATCCACATAAAGTTCGACAGAAAAATAAAGATGAGTATTTATAATTTAGGGTAGGAAGACAACTTCTGAGCAAAATAAAAGGTAGAGAGAATAAATGAAAAACATTGATTTGCCTCAGTACATAACAATATAAACTTGCTACATGATAAAAGTATTTCCCAGACACTGCCCCTAAACTGACACTCAGTATTTCCACTTGTTTGTCTCACAGACATTTCAATCTATCACATTCCTAACCACCCATTCTTACCTCCAAAGATGTACCCCTCTCAGGTGTTTCTATCTTAGTTAATGACATTTGTTCTAACAGTTATTCAGCTCAGAATTCCCTGGTGGTATCTTTCACTACTCCTCTTTCTCTTGTTATTTCACCCAATACATCAGCCAATCCTGTTACTCCAGCTTTAAAATATATACAAAATCCAAGGGTGCCTGGGTGGCTCGGTCAGTTAAGCGTCTGCCTTCGGCTCAAGAGTCCTGGGATTGAGCCCCACCTCGGGCCCCCTGCTTAGCAGGGGAGCATTTCCCTAATTTTTTGGCACAAAAAGATATCTCATACTGATTGTGGACTCTCCCTGTTCTAGTCCTAGAATCAAACACTTCTCCAAGAAGCTTTGGTTTCTCTTATTAGTGAATGGTATTTAGAAACCAAGGTCTGGGCACTAGGTTTATGCTCATTACTACAGGGCATCATTGCTTCCAGGCCCATTCACCAAATAGAAACAGAAAATATAAAAACACATTTTTGAAAGGAAATGATAAGACTTTAATGAGGAAGTTCAAGCTTTTTTATTTTAGAAGTTTTTTGATTTACAGAGTAACTGCAAAGATAGTACAGAATCCCCAAATACCCTATACCTAATTTCCCCTACTATTAGCATGTTATTATGGTGCTTTTGTTACAATTAATGAGCCAACACTGAAACATTATTAACTAATGTCCATACTTCATTCATATGTAGTTTTCATAGTTTTTATCTAATATCCTTTTTCTGTTCCAGGATCTCATTCAGGATACATTATCTTTAGCAGTCATGTCCCATTAGGCTCCTCTCGGTTGTCATGGTTTCTCAGACTTTCTCTGTTTTTAATGACCGTTACAGTTTTGAGGAGTTCTGGTCAGGTGTTATGTAGAACGTCTCCTGAATTGGCATTTGTCCGACGTTTTCTTGTTATACTAGGGTTATGTGTTTTGGAGAGCAAGACCACAGAGGTTAAATGCCATTTTCATCACATCTCATCAAGACTATGAACTACCAAAATGACATCACTATTGATGTTAACCTTGATCACCTGCATGAGATAGACACCCAAATTTTTAATCATGAGTTTGTATCAATCCAACATCACAGGTTCTTCTTTACCTTCCGTCACCCTTTATTTCTCTCTCTCTTGTGCCCACGGGGTCCACACTGCACACGACGCACATCGTCCCCGCCACCAGAGACGCGACGGCGCCCACACAGCGCACCCGAGGCGCAGACCCTCTCGGGGGACCCCCGGACTCCAACGCGCTCCCTCGAGCACCGCCCGCCACCACGGGAGCACACCGGGCCCCGCCCACCCGCCCCGGAACATCGCGAGATCCGGCCCTGCGGTTTAGCTATAGGCCTTTGCGCCTAGAGACTACGTTTCCCAGAAGGGACTGCGGCGATGACCCGCTCGCCAGGCAGCATCGGCGGTGCTTTGTGCGCCTGCGCCATCTTCCGGCTCCTGGCGGCGGGTCCGCCGATACCGGGGAGGAAACGCACCCGGGGCTGCGGGGAGCGCGGCCACGGGGGCACCTGAACCCGAGGACGCGGCAGGTGAGGGCCTCTGGAGCTTGCCAGGCGCGCCGGGGTCCCTGCGGGAGCGGGCTCCACGGCCGGGCGTATCTCGGGCCTGGGAAGAACCGGAACGTTTCGCCCCAGCGTCGGTCTGCGGCTTTCCGGGCTCTGGACTACATTTCCCGTCGGCCTCCGCGTCCAGGCTCGTAGCCCCGGGTATGTGGACCCCTTAGGTGGGTGTGAAGGGGTCCCCGACTCCCAAAAGTGCTGCTCGATGTTTTACAGTCTTTCCTACGCGTGCCTTTTTTTTTTAATTTGGGACAAAGTCTTGTTTCATAAGATTCTCAAACAGTTGCAAAGACCTCAAAATATTTAGCGCTACCAGTTCAGAAGCAGAGACTTAAATTTGAGAACATTTTAGATGATCTTGTAAAAGATCTTTGTCCAACAATGGGGAAATGGTTGAGTAAATCATGGGCCACTAATGTAATAAAATATCATAAAGCTATTACAGATACTGTTAAGGCAGTGGTCATAATAAGAAAAAAATTTCTATTACATGTTAAGGAATGATCAATTACTTCATTTACATATTTCTTAGAATTAAATATTTGTAACATGCCAGGCATTGTTCTGAGTTCCTTTATAGAATACTACTCGTTTAATGATGAACTCACAAAGTGGTTAAATGACATCATTCTTAATAGTTGGATTATTTTTTTTCCAGTTCTTTTTTTAAGCCCATGTAGGTGAGTGGTTTGACCTCTTTTGCAGAATGTTCTCATGTTGTATAAAGAGACCACTTGTGAATATCTTTTTTTGTCAGTTAATGTTGCCCCACATAATTTTTGATAGTTGTTTGGTGTTCCATCGTATGGCTGTGCCGACAGTGATTCAACCACTTGCCTACTTTTGTGGACTGTTATGTACTAATTTTTGTTCTCTTTTTCAGTAAATTTTGTGCACACAGCTTTGCTCACCGTTAGTCTCTGTGCAAGGGTACATTTATGTGATGGTAATGGAGCCATCTAATTTGCCCATTGCAGCCACACCCCATTTGTTGACTCAAGGCAGGGTCCACAAAGTGGTGTCCACCAGGCCTTAGGAAGGGCTGTAAGGTTCTTTGTGAATTTGGAAGTCGAGTAAGAGCCAGGGAGGTGTTACATTGTGGGTACGAAAGAGTTAAATGGTCTATTTCTGGGAAGGCTTCACTGTGGGCTGGGCTGATGCTGATCAGGCAGGCTGTGCTCCCTGGCCTGAGGACAGCCTTTCTTGTCCTTGGGACACCGTGTGGTCTTAGTCACTGAACCAGGACTGAGCATCCCCATCACAGATCTGCATCAGTAACAAGGTGGAATTCTCTGGATATTTAGGGGAAGTGGGAGAGAAAAGGCCACTGGTTCCCTGTCTCATTGTGACAGCTAAAGCTATGTTTCCTAGAGTTGGGTAAGGGCTACAGTGTTCCAGCTCCAGTTTTTGTAGGAAGCGGGGGACAAAAAGCTGGGGGCTTGTAACCATGGCATTCTGGGAGCTAGAAGGCAAGCTTGGCCTCTCATGTTTGCTCTTTCCTCCCCCAGCTCGGCCATCTCAGGACTCTGCCCTTCCCCAAGAGAGGAACCTGCAGGAGGACCCATCAGCCCATGACATTCTAAAAGTCATGTCCCTTGTGAGTTTTAAAATCATGTAAATATTTGCTTTGTTTATCTTGAAGCCTCCATCTGGGTTTCATCCAAGAATCCAGTTCTCAGAGGTTCCCATTTTAGGGACTATAAAGGCCAGGCCGCTGGTACCCTCTCCCACTGCGCCCTCCACTCTGACCAATGCCCATGGGTTCATTCTGTATAGCATTCCATATCTTCTGATGGTGTGGTATTCTGCCAGGAGGCTAGATAGAGCAGAAATCCATTTCCTTGTATAAACTGAAAGCCAAGGTTTGATGAAATGGAGATGAATACTTATGAGGGATATGACATGAAAAAGCATGGGAACAGGTCTTGGTTGGTCTCAATGTCAGTGTGAGGCACGATCTCTTAGCTGGGTATCTGTAGGAGATTAGATGCCAGAATTCAGGTCCAATTTGAGGTCAAACAGAGCATTTGAATTGGGTCATTCTATAGCAGCTTCTTCAGCTTGAGAACGAGAGAAGTACAGAGGTGAGCGGGTTGTGAGGCAACCAACCAGATGGATGAATTTTTCAGAATCCAGGTAGGCAGAGCTTGGAAGAGCCTTCAGAGATCTGATCCAGCCTCTGCATCCAAAATAAGAGAATGGTTGAGTCATTTTTTCACTTGATAGAAAATTGTACAGCTAATAAAAGTAATCTTAATTTAAGATTTTTCTCATAAGGCAGAATGCTTTGATATGTTCTGACATAATGATGAACCTCTGTCTTCAAATAATTCTCAATGTATATGAAAATCATACTTTCTAAGATAGGAAACATTAATAAAACATTTCAGGGTAAGTCTATCAAAAATTGTTGGTTTGTTTTGTTGTTGTTGTACAAAAGTAGAAATTATAGGCCTCTCATTGAGGAGGAGCACATTTATTTTTTTTTAAGATTTTATTTATTTATTTGACAGAGACACAGTGAGAGAGGGAACACAAGCAGGGGGAGTGGGAGAGGGAGACGCAGGCTTCCCACAGAGCAGGGAGCCCAACGCGGGGCTCGATCCCAGGACCCTGGGACCATGACCTGAGCCAAAGGCAGATGCTTAACGACTGAGCCACCCAGGTGCTCCTCATTGAGAATTTATTATATGCCAAGGACAGAGTAGGCAACGTGCTTTAGTATACTGCTTGTCACAACTGGGGAAACTCCACTTGGCTGAGTTTTAATTTTCCTCCCAGATCTATGTACAGAGTTTGGGTTTGTAGTGAAAAGTAATGCTCAAGAACATCTCAACACTGTTTTACTCATGCCGACCCTCTCTTGTAACCTGCTCACGTCGGAGGCCTCCAGCCCCAGCCTTCTTTTTCACCAGAACACCCCATTCCTGCAAAGACCTCCTTCCTCCGTCTCCTCTCATCCCACCAAGAAACATTTCCTTGAAATATGCCAATAACATACCTGCCTGTTGTTTCAGGAGTCAGACTTGTTCAGGGATGTGGCCATAGTCTTCTCCCAAGAAGAATGGGAACAGCTTGCACCCACTCAGAGGGATTTGTACAGAGACGTGATGTTGGAGACCTATAGCAACCTGGTCTCACTGGGTAAGATGACCTGGCATGTTAGTTTGCATGTTACCCTCGGTGTATCTGTTCCTTATCCATTTCCGGGTACCTTTTGAGTGGTCAAAGAGCAGCTCCCTGGGTTGATACTACATCTTCCCCAACCCTCAGGTGACTGTCACATCTTCCTCTGGTCTCTTCTGCTCGCCGACCACATCCTGGATCTGAATTCTGGGGCCCCACACCATAACCGGGTGGCATGTTTTTTCTCACATCCAGGTCTTGCCATCGCCAAACCTGATGTGATCTCCTTCCTGGAGCAAGGCAAAGAGCCCTGGGTGGTAGAGAAAATGTCCAGAGGAGGCCTGTGTCCAGGTGAGTGAGGCCTGGGTAGGAAGAGAGAAACTACCACAGATAACCATCTAGTGGGTGGAAGAGAAAAGAAGACCTTTGAGGTAGAAAACTTTCCCTCCAAGATGCCCAACTCAGAGGTCAGGTCCCAGTTATCATCTCTTGGAGTGTGTCAGCAGCATTTCACAAAAGTGGTCGTTCCTTTCTTCCTGAAACATTTCTGTGTATTTGGGACATCACTACCTCCTCATTAAACCATCTTCAGCCTCCTCTGATGGGATTGTCTCACTTTCTTTAAATGTTGGAGGCCCCCAGGGCTCAAACTTGGGTTTCTTCTTTCCTGTTTATCTTCATTTCCTAAGACCCTCTCCATTACCGTGCTTTAAATACTTTTTGTACCTGTGTTGTATAGTATGGAGCCACTGGCCCCATGTGGCTGTTGTAATTTAAATTAATTACAATTAAATACATTAAGAAGATCAGTACCTCAGTTGCACTTTGCCACATTTCAGAAGTTCAGTAGCCACTCTGTGGCTTGTGCCTGCTGTGTTGGACGATGCAGATACAGAACATTTCCATCATCCTTAGCTTTTCCTTTAAACTCCAGATACTTATGCCCAGCTGCCTTCTATCATATCCACTTCAGTGTTCACTGGGGACTTTGAACTTAACAAGTCCAGAAAGGGGTTCTGGATCAATTTGCTCTTCCCTCTTTCTTTTTTTTTTTTAGGATTTTATTTTATTTATTTATTTGACACAGAGAGAGAGAGCACAAGTAGGCAGAACAGCAGGGAGAGGGAGAGGAAGAAGCATGCTCTCCGCTGAGCAGGGAGCCTGACGGGCTTGATCCCAGGACCCTGGGATCATGACCTGAGCCGAAGGCAGGTGCTTAACCGCCTGAGCCACCCAGGCGCCCCCAACTCTTCCCTCTTTCTTCCACACTTTAGTAATAGGGTACTTGATTCTTATACTTGCTTAAGTCAAAAAAAAATTTTTTTTTGAGATTTTATTTATTTGACAGAGACATAGCGAGAGAGGGAACACAAGCAGGGGGAGTGGGAGAGGGAGAAGCAGGCTTCCTGCCAAGCAGTGAGCCCGATGCGGGGCTCGATCCCAGGACCCTGGGATCATGACCTGAGCCGAAGGCAGATGCTTAACGACGGAGCCACCCAGGCGCCCCTCAAGTCAAAAACTCTTAAAGCATTCTTGACTTTTCTCTCTCATGTACTTACTCAGTTTGTCAGCAAGGCCTGTTTTCTCTACCTTGAAATATGTCCTGAATTTAACCACTTCTCACCAATACCACTGCTACCATTCCATCCACGCCACCATCATCTTTGGCTTGGACTATTGCAATAGCCTCCCCATCCCTCTGCTTCTATTCTTGTCCACTACAGTGTATCGTCTACACAGCAGCCAAAGTGAGGGTGTATTGCATCGCTGCTCAAGACCTACTAGTAAATTCCCATCTCACTCAAGAGAAAATCCAAAATTGATACCATGCCCTAGAAGCCTCTATGTGCTGTCTCATATAATAGCCACCAGCCAAGTGTGCTGTTTAAATTTTAACTTTAACTAAAATTAAATAAAATGTAACATTCCATTCCATGGTAGCCTATAGCCACATTTCAAATGCTCAGTAGCTTTGGGTAGCTAGTAGCTCCTATATTAGGGTGGAATCGAATATTTTCGGCATCATAGAAAGTTCTGTTGGACTGTGTTGCTCTGTGATCAGCGTCCCACTTCCTCTCTGATTTCCTCTCCTGCTCCTCTCCTTGTTGCTCATTCGGCTGCAGCCACACAAGCCTCTTTGCTATACCTTTAATGTAGGGGTTGGCAAGTGTTTTCTTTAAAGGGCCAGAGAGGAAATATTTGTGGCCTTTGTGGGCCATATATGGTCTCTGTCACAACTACTCAGCTATGCTGTGGTAGCATAAGAGCAGACAGTACAAATTTACCCTCCCCAACTTTGATACAGAAAGCATGTTCCTGCCTCAGGGCTTCTTGCCTTTCTGTTCCCTCTGCCTGGGGTGTTCTTGCTCTGGATGGAGGGTTGCTCAGCCTCAGCATTGTTGACACAGAGGGGCTGTCCAGTGGACTGTAGGATGTTTAGCAGCCTCCCTGGCTTGTACTCATTAGTTGCGAGTATAACCCCCCCTCCCTTCGGTTGTGACAATCAGAAATGTTCCAGATATTACCATATGTCCCCCAGGGGGCAAAATCTTCCCTGATTGAGAACCAAAGTTCAAAGTCAAGTGTGACAATGCAAGACCAAGAATGTGTTGGTTGATAAGCAGTTTCCACAAGAAACAGTCTCCACCACATACAATGTACTATAAGAGAATTTCAGATGGGCAACCAAGAATTAAACATTACAGACGTGTAGATTCATCCACATTGAAGTGGTAGTTGGCCCCTGGGAATGAATGAGGTCAAGTGTGAGTGAACATCAGGAGAGAAGATACAGGGGCACCTGGGTGGCTCAGTCGGTTGGGCGTCTGCCTTCTGCTCAGGTTGTGATCCCAGGGTCCTGGGACTGAGTCCTGCATTGGGGGCTCCTTGCTCAGTGGGGAGCCTGCTTCTCCCTCTGCCTGCCACTCCCCCTGCTTGTGTGCTCACTCACTCTCTCTCTCTGACAAATAAATAAATAAAATCTTTAAAAAAAAAAGAAAAAGGAGAGAAGATACGTGCTGCTGCATAACCCAGTGTCTTCACTGGCATCTTTGGGAGGCCAGTATTCTGCCAGCCACACCCGTAATACCATTTTTGCTTTTGTTTTTGTCATTTTAGTTTGACAGTTTATGTTTGATTGTTTGGGGTGCTGAGTTTTATTTATTTCTTAGATCTGTGGGTTTACATCATAGTCAAAGAGGACTTTCCCCTTTGACATTATAAATGCGTCTCTTGTGATTTTTTTCCTGGCATATTTATGGTGCTATTTATGATCCCTGTGGAGTTTATCCTGAGTGCAAGATGTGATTTCACACTGTTTTCCGGGTTGTTATCCGTTTATTCAAACAGCATTTATTAGCTCATTTTACCTTTTCACCACTAATCTACATGGCCACCTTTATCATCTACTCTGTTGCCTCTGGATATATTTTTCGACTTTTTTGGTCTGTTTCATTAATCTCTTTGTCTAACTATGTGTCCAATACCATACTGTTTTAATTATTGAAGGTTTTAAGTATCTGGTAGCCTAGTTCCTCCTCATTCTTATTTTTCAGAATTTTCCTGGCTATACTCATTTATTTTTCCATCTGAACTTTAAAATTAGAATATCTGGTTTAAAAAAAATCATGTAATTATTCTTACTGGAGATCATAGTAAATTTTCAGATTGAGGAGAAAACTTATTTTTTTTAATTGATTTTTATCTATTTAAGAAAATGATAGGCTTTCCCTTCATTTATCTCCACCCCCTGGTGGTTTTAAAATTTTATTTATATGGCTCTTGTATATTTCTTATGATATTTATTGCTAGGTAGTATATATTTATTGCTGTTATTGGAAATGGGGCCCTTTTCATCCCTATTATATGCCAACCAGTTGTTTTTTATACCTGGCAAAAGCCATTCATAGCTTCAGATTAATTTTGTAGTTAATCCAACTTACTGAATTTTCTCATTATTTACAACAGTTTTTCATGTAATACTCTTGAGCTTTCCAAGTAGTCAGTCATATCATCTGCAAATGATAATCTTTTTGCATTTTTATAGCTCTTGGGTTTTTTTTCCCTTTTGCCTGAGTAGGAAGATTATGTAGTACCCCCAGGACAATGTTAATGGGGGTAGTTTACATCCTAAGTTTGTTCTTGACCTTAATAGAAATGTTTTTTGTGTCTTTTCAGTAAGCATAATATCACATTTAGGAATGAAATAGAGATATTTTATTTGGTTAAAGAAGTATCCACCTTTTCACGTTGAGTTTTCTTATTTTAATCTATGAAGTCTGGATTATATGAATAGATTCCCTAATACTTGAACTCCTGATACTGAATACTGAATCTAAACGTTCAAATGTTGCATTTCTTGAGTCAGTGTGGTAATTTATATTTTTTCTGCTCTTTTTAATTTTTTAAAAAAATCACTGTAAAATATACATAACAAAATTCATCTTTTTAACCACTTTAAGGTGTATAGTACATTGGCATTTAGTACATTTACAGTGTTGTGCAATATCACCATTATCTAGTTTCAGAATTTTTTTATCACCCTGTGGTTTTCACCCTGGTTTTCTGGCACACTGCTCTTAAAACCCTTGGAGTCTCTGAAGTAATAAGTCTTCTTGTATGCTAATGAGATGACTGTGGTTGGGGTCACCTGATAGCTTCAGGATGGGGCCTGGTTGAGAGAAAAACCTATTTTGTAATTAGAGGCTTGGAACTCTCAGCCCTATCCCCCAAACTCTGGAGGGACTGGAGGTTGACTGAATCACCAAAGGGCAATGATTTAATCAATCCCGCCTATGTAATGAAGCTTCCATAAAAAAATCCCTAAAGTACAGTGTTTGGAGAGCTTCCAGGTTGGCGAGCATGTGGAGGTACTGGGAGGGTAGTGTTCCTGGAGAGGGTGGAAAATCTCCGCCTCGCCCCCTGTACCTTGTCCTGTGCATTTCGTTCATCTGACTGATGAGTTATATTCTTTGTAGTAAACTGGTAATCTAGTAAGTAAACCATTTTCCTGAATTCTGTAAGCCAGTCTATCAAATGATTGAACCCCAGGAGGGGTTGTGGGAACCTCCAGTTTATTGGGGTGGGGGGTGAAGGGAGCAGAGGTAGTCTGTGGGCCTGAGCTCTTAATCTGTGGGATCTGATGCTTTTTGCAGAAGGACAGTATAAAAATTGACTTAAATCTGTAGGACACACAGTTGGTATCCACCAGAGTTGGAGAAGCGCTTGGCACACATTTTGTCACCAGAAGCGTCAGAAGGGAAGTATGTATAGTAGAGTCGTGTTGAGAGGTGTGTTTTTCCTAAACACACTCCAGAGGAGACCCCATACTTAAGTAGTCTCCTCACTGCCCTCCCCCCCCAGCCCCGGCAACCAGTAACCTGCTTTCTGTCTCTGTGGAATTGCTCATTATGGATATTTCACATAAATGGAGTCATATAATGTGTGGCCTTTAGAGTCTGGCTTCTTTCACTTAGCCTGATGTCCTTAAGGTTAGTCCATGTTGTAACATGTGACAGGATTTCCTTCAATTTTAAGGCTATGTGTATGTTGCACAACTTTTTTATCCATTCATCTGTCAATGGACATTTGGGTGGCTTCCACCTCTTGGCTATTGTCAATAATGTTGCAGTAAACATGGGTGTGCAGGTGTCTCTTTCAGATTCTTTCAGTTCTTTGGGATATATACTTAGACTATAATACAGAATTGCTGTATTATATGGTAATTCTATTTTTAATTTTTTTAGAACTCTCCCTACTGTTGTCGTTGTTGTTGTTTTAGTAATCTGTACCCAACATGGGGCTCGAACTCATGACCCTGAGATCAAGAGTTTTATGCTCTTCCAACTGAGCCAGCCAGGCGCCCCTCCATACTGTTCTTTCTTTCTTTTAAAGATTTTATTTCTTTATTTGAGAGAGAGAATGAGAGACAGAGAGCACGAGAGGGGGGAGGGTCAGAGGGAGAAGCAGACTCCCTGCTGAGCAGGGAGCCCGATGTGGGACTCGATCCCAGGACTCCAGGATCATGACCTGAGCTGAAGGCAGTTGCTTAACCAACTGAGCCACCCAGGCGCCCTCTTTCTTTTTTTAAAAGTTGTATTTATTTATTTTTAGGGAGAGAGAGAAAGAATGCATGCGAGAAATGTCTATTCAGGTTCTTTGCCAATTTTTTAATAGGGTAGTTTTTTTGTTGTTGTTGAATTGTAGGAGTCCTTTATATATCCTGGATAGTAACCTTTTATCAGATACATGATTTAGAAATATTTTCTATTCTGAAGGTTGCCTTTTTACTTTTTTGATTGTTTCCTTTGATGCACGAAAGTTTTTTAAGCTTGATGTAGTCTCGTGTCTGTTTTTGCTTTTGCTACCTGGGCCTTTAGTGCCATATCCAAGAAATCATTGCCAAATGCAATGTCATGAAGTTTTCCCCCTGTGCTTTCTTCTAGGAACTTAACATTTTTAGGTCTTACATTTAGGTCTTTAATCCATTTTGAGTTAATTTTTGTATATGGTGTAAGGTAAGGGTCCTGCTTCATTTTTTTGCATGTGGCTACCCAATTTCTTCAGAACCATTTGTTAAAGAGACTGTCCTTTCCTCATTGTGTTGTCTTGGCACCCTATCAAAGATCATTTGCCCATATGCATGGGGGTTTATTTCTGGGCCCTCTAATTCTGTTCCATTTGTCTATGTCTGCCTTTTTGCTGGTACCACACTGTTTTGATTACTGTGGCTTTGCAGTATGTTTTGAAATCAGGAAGTGTGAGACCTCCAACTTTGTTTGTCTTTTTCAAGATTATTTTGGCTATTGGGATCCCTTGAGGTTCATATGAGGGAACTAAAATATCTTGATGCTAAGACTATCTGTAAGATTTTTTAGACCTATTTCTTTGGTTATCCAAAACAGTGACTACTAATGCTAAGTCATTAAATTTAAAATACTCTGCCAGTCCCTGTCAGGGAAACATTAATACAAAAGACCTCACTATTCTTGTTGCTATTTTGCAACTTTACAGGGAGTTGAACAGAAGTCGGAAAATTACGGCTGTCAGTACTATCTTTGGATGCTTACAACACAGTATATAATTAGGGATGGCTTAATTTAGATGAATGTAAAAGGGCTCATATAGTAAACAACACCATACGCTGCCATAAATCAATACAATCTGTGATAGAAAAATGGAAAAAGTGGAAGTCTGGGGAGAGGGTTGTTTTCAGTGGCACGTCCGTTTTCCACATTGCCCAAAAAGCAAGTAATGTACCTTACTTTAATTCCGAAAACCAGATTTCCATTTGGGCATAGTTAAATGTTCCCAAACTTGTTTTCTCTTTCTACCAGGTTGGCCTTCATTTTCCATGTTCCAGTTTCCATGTAGTCTTTTGGTTGTCCTTCGTAGGACGGCAGGCAGATGTTGCTAACAGTTGAGTAGCTCAACCACCAATTCACAGGTTGCCATCATAATGGCCATATTTGGAATCTGTCTCACTAGAATTGTCAGACCACAGTGAAGAGACCCAAAACCATCCTTCTGAACAACCAGACAGGGGCACCTGGGTGGCTCAGTCGGTTAAGCATCTTCTTTTGGCTCAGGTCATGATCCCAGGGTCCTGGGATCGAGCCCTGCATCGGGCTCCCTGCTTGGCAGGAAGCCTGCCTCTCCCTGTCCCTCTGTCTGCTGCTCCCCCTGCTTGTATGCTCTCTGTCTCAAATAAATAAATAAAACCTTTTAAAAAAATTAAAAAAACAACCAGACATGGTGTCTGAAAAAATATCTGTACTTTGTGTCCTCGTCATGTAGTCTTGTTCTTACAACTTCATGTGGACGCACTGTGGTTACAGTACAAGTTTTTGACAGGACAGTGGCATCATTCCCACAAAATCTGATATTTCTTTCATAGACCCGTCATCATGTTTCATTGTCAAACTAACTTTTTATTCTAGTAGTTTTTGCTTAATACTTTCACAAGTAACCAAATGAATAATGTTCTGTGATATGCCACCATATGAAGCAGACCTGCTCCTATAAAATCCTCTTTGGTCATCTGTCTACTACACTTTCTTTTTTTTTTTTAAAGATTTTACTTGTTTGTTTATTTATTATTTATCAGAGAGAGAGAGAGAGAGAGAGCGCATGCACATGCAGGGAGGGCGGCAGGCAGAGGAAGAAGTAGGCTCCCTGCTGAGCAGGGAGCCCCACATGGGGCTCAATCCCAGGACCCCGAGATCATAACCTGAGCCGAAGGCAGATGCTTAACCATCTGAGCCACCAAGGCATCCCTGTCTACTACACTTTATTTTTTAAAAAAGATTTTTATTTATTTATTTTTATTTTTTTAAAGATTTTTATTTGAGAGAGAGAATGAAATAGAGCATGAGAGGGAAGAGGGTCAGAGGGAGAAGCAGACTCCCTGCCGAGCAGGGAGCCCGATGCGGGACTTGATCCCGGGACTCCAGGGTCATGACCTGAGCCGAAGGCAGTCGCTTAACCAACTGAGCCACCCAGGCGCCCAATTTTTATTTATTTTTTGACACAGAGGGAACACAAACTCAGGGAGTGGGAGAGGGAGAAGCAGGCCTCCCGCTGAGCAGGGAGCCCAATGGGATCATGACCTGAGCCGAAGGCAGACGCTTAACGACTGAGCCACCCAGGCGTCCCTGTCTACTACACTTCATAAGCACATTCAAAAGCACCCATTTGCTTTCCCCATAGTTCCTTGCATTAAGCTGTAACCAGTTCTTTATTAGCCAAATGGATTTGGTTGCTGTGATTACATAAAACAGGCTACTGCAACTGAAATCATGTAATAGGTAAAACCAGGATCAAATACACCATTTGACTTTTCCCTGCAGTTTGAATAGGCAGCAGAGAATGTTGCTCTGAAGAAGCCACCTCCATTAGGTTGGGGCCTAATTCTCTAAACAAGGAACAGGGCCCTTCTTTTTCCACCGTCACATTTAGGCAGTGGAAAGGTCCAGCAGAGACTGGTTTAGTAGACACTAGGTCTAAGCCATGGTACTCAGCTGAACTTCAGAGGTAGAAGGCATCACAGTAGAATGCCACAGCTGTGTTACTGTAACCTCCAGTGGACAGGCGAGACCAGCCTTCCTGTCCTACCACCTCACCTGGCAGATACACCGTGGCGTGCCTCTGGCCGGATGAAGATCCAGCTACCCTTCCCCGTCATTTTTTAAAATCTGCTTCATTGAGGTATAATTTGTATTCAATAAAGTGCATGCATTTTAAGTACAGTATCTTGATGAGTATGGACAAACATATATACTGGCATAACCGTAACCACAGGCTAGAGAGCATTTTCATCGCCCTGAAAAGTTCCCTTGTGCACCTTCTACACAATTGCTCATTTACCCAGCCCCAGGCAACCAGTGATTTCTTGTCACTCTAGATTATATGTGTTTTCTCGGGGTTCATAGAAACATTCATTTGTTTAAAAACGTGGTTCAGAGCTGATTCTGATCCACACTAACATTTTAGAACTACTCTTACAACCTCCCTCTGACTTCTTCATCTCAATTTATGGTATTTCCTCTGCCTCTCTTCTACTTACCCATTTTCAAATTGCCTAGCCACATTCAAGAGCTTATAGGTATACTCATGAGTTTAAGTTTCCTGGTTTTCACTATAGAATTTCCTTTTTCTGGGGGCGCCTGGGTGGCTCAGTTGTTAAGCGTCTGCCTTCGGCTCAGGTCATGGTCCCAGGGTCTTGGGATTGAGCCCTGCATCAGGCTCCCTGCTCGGCGGGAGGCCTGCTTCTCCCTCTCCCACTTCCCTTGCTTGTGTTCCCTCTCTCGCTGTGTCTTTCTCTGTCAAACAAATAAATAAAAAAAAAACTCTTAAAAATAAAAGTTCCTTTTTCTGGAAAAGGAAAAAAACATGTTTTTTTTTTTTTTTTCCAGTGCTGGAGTCCAGGTATGATACCAAGGTATCCTCTCCAGAGCAGCATATTTATGAAATACAGTCGCCACAGTGGGAGATAATGGAAAGCCTCACAAGTTACGGTCTTGAGTGCTCAAGGTTCCAAGATGACTGGGAATATAGAAGCCAGTTGGACAAACAACAGGGAAATCCAGATGGACATTTGAGTCAAATGATAATCAATCATGAAGAAATAGCCACTTTAAACCAACAAGGATCATTTCCTTTTTATCAGAAAACTCATCGTGGAGAAAAACCCTATGAATATAACGAATGTAGAAAAGACTTCTGGCAGGAGGACTTCCTTATTAATCATCAAGGAATTCATGCTAATGAGAAACCCTATAAATGTAAGGAATGTGGCAAGGCCTTTAAGTATGGCTCACGACTAATTCAACATGAGAATATTCATTCTGGCAAGAAACCCTATGAATGTAACGAATGTGGAAAGGCCTTCAATTCTGGTTCAAATTTCATACAACATCAGAGGGTTCATACTGGTGAGAAACCTTATGAATGTAAGGATTGTGCAAAGGCCTTTAGTCGAAGTTCACAGCTGATTGAACATCAACGAATTCATACTGGTGAGAAACCCTATCAATGTAAGGAATGTGGCAAGGCCTTCAATAGGATCTCACATCTTAAAGTACATTATAGAATTCATACTGGTGAAAAACCCTATGCATGCAAGGAATGTGGGAAGACCTTTAGTCATCGGTCTCAGTTGATTCAACATCAGACTATTCATACGGGCAAGAAACTCTATGAATGTAAGGAATGTGGGAAGGCCTTTAATCAAGGCTCAACTCTTATTAGACATCAGAGAATCCATACTGGTGAGAAACCCTATGAATGCAAGGCATGTGGGAAGGCCTTTAGGGTGAGCTCACAACTTAAGCAACATCAGAGAATTCACACTGGAGAGAAACCCTACCAATGTAGGGTTTGCGGTAGGGCTTTCAAACGGGTCTCACATCTTACTGTACATTATAGAATTCATACAGGTGAGAAACCATATGAATGTAAGGAATGTCGAAAGGCCTTCAGTCATTGCTCACAACTGATTCAGCATCAGGTAATTCATACTGAGGAAAAGTCTTGTAAATATAAGGAATGTGGGAGGACTTTACATCATGATTCAGCTACTGTTCAACACCAGAGAATGCATAATAAAGAAACACAAGTGAACATAATAAATGTAGAAAAGCCTTCCATTAGCACTTATCCTTTATTAATCATCAGAGAATTTATGTTAGCAAGCAACCATATCAATGGAAATAATGGGGAGAGCCCATTAGCTTAGGCTAGTCCCAACTTCTTATATTTTGCAGAAAAACTTGAAGAATGTAATGCAAATGGGAATGCCTTCATTCAAGCTATCCTTTATCCCGGGTCATAAGATTAATAATGAAAAATTTTACAGATATAAATTGTTTAGACCATAATTACTGAAGAAGCAAGGAAAGTTTGGGAAAAAAAATTGTCTAACATATTACAGGATCACATTTTCTAACCACACTGTAATAATTTTAACAACAGCCAGAAGTTTTAATTTTCTTGGCAATTGAAAACAAAAAACAAAAAACCAGCCAAATTACTCTTCGGTTCAACTTTTTTTTTTTTTTTAAATAGGCACCACACCCAGTGTGGGCCTCAAACTCTTGACCCTAAGATCAAGAGTCATATGCTCGACTGACTAAGCCAGCCAGTACCCCATTACTCTTGGGTTAATAATAAATTATGCAAATTATCATGCATGGTAATGAAAAGAATGACAATTGAGAGATTTACATTCCAGGAGTTGCAGGATGTGGCTAAAGTTACTCAGAAGAATTTTTATGGCTTTTAAATGCATGCAAAGCATGAAAACCTGAAAGATTATTCTCAAATATATTAAATGTACTATTCAAGAAGCCAGAAAAGACAATACCAAACACTGAGGTGATGAAAGAACAAAGGTACAAAATAAAAAGCGAAAATAATGAAATTAGAAAGTGATTATCTTAAAATAATCTGTTTTTATTTCTTCCTGACCCAAGAATAAACAAAATTTAAGGTAATACTTCTCAATTTCTATGTTGTTTTAGATTATCTTTCATCACTTTTGTCACAAACAGAAGGGGCCGGTTGCCTACATGGCAGCCATACCCAATTCCCCTTCCTACTGGCAGCATCTGTGTCTTGCCTTAGACTCTGAAGATATCAGATGCTAACTTTTCAGCATCTTCTGCAGCTCAGGATGGCTCCTATGTTCCAGGGTAAGGCCAGTATGTTCCAGGGATCTGTAGGGGCTTCTGGGACAGATTTTTCTCATTCAGAAGAGACAGATCTATCAGGAAGACTCCATCTCCTCTCATCTGCTTTTAAACATTCTCCTATGAGAACATAATGCCTGGAGCTGTTGTAGCCTTGTTGGAACCAAAAGGAGAAAACCGAGGACCTCAGAGAAGCTGACCCAGAATTACCAGGCCAATTCTGGAACTGTCTCTGTGAAGCCTTGTTATGTAAAAAAAAAAATAAACCTTTATTGCTGAAATTACTTTTAGTTGCATATTTTGTAAACTTGTAGCCAAAACCATCCTAAATTATGTAACTTCAAATTTTGGCTTCTAGAGGCTGCCTGCATTCCTTGGTGTGGCCCCTTTCCATCCTCAATGGCAGCAATAGCTTGTTGAGTCTTTCTCACATTGCATCGTTCTGACACTGATTCTTTGGCCTCTCCCACCTTTAAGGATCCTTGTGATTATGATGGCTCCTGTGGACAATCCAGGATAATCTTGTCTTAAATTCAGCTGATTAACAATCTTAGATTTACCCGCAACTTAACTCCCCCTTGCTACTAACATAACAGGTTTCTGGGGTTAGGACAGAGACATCTTTGGAGGCCTGTAATTCTGCCTACCACAGTAACTGCTTCTGTCCTGGCATTTGGCAAGAGTTTCTATCCTTAGAATTCAGGAAGTTAAGTAGGATATGCTTAGATAGTCTCATGTCCTTTTTTTAGCCCAAGGAAATTTTCTTCCAAATATTAATTAGGACTTATCAATTGTTCTATTTTATTCCTATTTTAAAACTTAAAAAAAAAAAGATTTTATGTATGTATGTATGTGAGAGAGCGAGCCCCCACACAGAGCAAGAGCAGGGGGAGGAGCAGAGGGAGAGGGAGAGGGAGGGGAAAGACACGGGGCTCAATCTCACGACCCTGAGATCATGACCTGAGCTGAAGCAGATACTTAATCGACTGAGCCACCCAGGCGTCCCAAGAATTAAAATTATAATCATGCAGGGCATGTAACATGGGAGGAGCAGAATTTGGGGGTGAGGGACATTTTAGAAATCTGTCCAAGATGCTCAGTATTTTCATGAACACCCGAAGGCTGGCACGAGATGAGGGAGGAAGAGAATTGCAACCTGTCTTTCCGGGAGGCAGCCTGACCTCTCATGTTTTCTCTTCCCTCCTTGGTTCTCTGCCTTCTCAGGACTCACCCTGCCCCAGGAGAGGAACCTGGAGGACTCATGGGTCCTTGCTATTCTGAAAGCCATGGCCTAGGTAAGTCATGCTTTCTTTCTCCTTCCTCAAACCGTGCTCATTTGATATAAAATGTAGGAAAATTTGGGGGGGATTTCCTGCCTAAGTTTCACCCATGCACAAAAGGATCAAATAGCCCTAAGCTCTCGCTAAGAATCCCCCTCTCTCTGACCTGGGTTCAGGTGTTCATATCTCCTATGGACTGTTTTGCAGGAGCCTCGATGGACCAGAAATGCATTGTTTCAGTGAAACATGAAAGACTCCTATATGAAATATGATTTAAGGGACTAATCAGTGTTTAAAGGAACCACACATAATAATGCTTTAATGGTAATCTACAGACCAGGGTTTCCCAGTTGAATAAGATAGGCAGTGGTGGTGGTTGGTCTCTGCTGTGGTCTGAATATGTTCTTCCAATTCCTATGTGATGGTATTTGGAGGTGGGACCTTTACTAAGTGATTAGGTCAGGATGAATGGGATTAGCGTCCCCATAAAAGAGTCTCTAGAGAGATCCCTTACCTAACTCTTCACTATGTGAGGATGTAATGTCAAGCTGGCCATCTGCAACCTGTGAGCGGGCCCTCACTGGAGCCCAGTCATCCTGCCGCCCTGATCTTGGACTTCCAGCCTCCAGAACCGTGAAAAACAAACTTCGATTGTAAATAAGCCACCCAGACTGTGGTACTTTGTTACAGCAGCCAGAATGGACTAAGACAGAAGGTCTCAGCCTCAGAATGTAATAACAGTGCTGTTTCACACCTTTTGAATTGGGGGTGGCATTGGGAATTTGGTTATAGAATCAGAGACATTGCCCAGCAGTCCCTCCAGATGGATGCCTGACCCAAGGTCATATCTGATGTTCAGCCACAAGTGTGGGTAGTGGGCCACATCTGTGTGAGCCTGGATTACCCTTCATCCCCCATTAGCATTCTATTGCTCGGGAACAAGGAAAGAGCACACTTAGGGATGGGCTAGGTGAGACTAGCCAGAGTGCATGAGGTATTGAAAATCATAAATCAGCAGAGCTAGGAATGTCCCTAAAGATACCTTTTTCAACCTCAAGTGCCCCAAAATGAAAGGCTGAGTCATTTAGTGCAATGTCATGGGAAAGTGTGCAGCTAATAAAAATAAATCTGATTGAAGAAGCTGACCTAGTAAGGAACGGTAACATTAAGACAATGATGAACCTGACTCTTCAATACATTTTAAAATAATACACAACTCTCATAATTCCTAACAGAGACTCTGTTAACCATTTTGCAATGATTCCGTGAAAAAAAAAAGTTTCTCTAGCTCAGGATTTCTCAAGTTCAGTACTAATGATATTTAAGGCTTATAATCCTTAGTTGTGCTGTCTTATACATTGGTGAATGGTCAGCAGCATCTCTGGTCTCTACCCACTAGGTGCTATTAGCATTCCCTATCCCAGTGGTGCTAACCAAAATGTCTGCAGGTGCTGCCAACTGTCTTCTGGGGGTGCAGAATTGCCCTGGAGAACCATTTCTCTCATTTGAATTTTCTTGGAACATTATGAAAGCATTCAAACACTTAAAAAATGTATCAATGTTTCCATAATCACTGCCTAATTTCTGAACAGAAGGAATAAAGACAATTCAGACATATTAGGTTGTGCATTGAACTTCTTTACAGTTTAATTTATTGGAAAACCTTTGAACTTGAATTCTTTTCGTTCTTTGAAGTATCTTTTGATGGACCTATCTCCTTTTATGAAGGAAGTTGTGCTGCTCTCAAGAGAAGTACAGACCCTTCCCTTGAATTGCCACAATTTCCTTAATGTGCTCGCTGGCTTCAGCTCTGCAATGTCCTTCTCATCCTTCTATTTTTCTAGTCGTAAATACTTATTTCAATGGCACACATTATCATTTTGTTGTTTCAAGGGTCAGTGATGTTTAGGGGTGTGGCGATAGTCATATCAGGTTGAGTGGGGCAGGCCGGAACTTGCTAAGATTTGTGCAGAGATGGAATGCTGGAGAACTTAAGCAACTTCATCTCTAGGTAAGATGTTAATACCCCTGGAAGGCTGAAATTTGTCCACTGGAACATCTGCCTTTGATGTGGATTTCTGAGGAGACTTTCAAGACCCTGGTTGAGTTTCTGCTCTGCTCTCCATGAGATTGTACAGAGTGGGGATGGATAATTCTGTAGGATAACACCTAAAAAAGCTTCTACCCCATTCCAAAAATGACTTCCTCCTCTTCTCTGGCCTTTTCTAATTTCTTCTCTTCATTGATAACCAGGAACTGGATATGAATTCTGAGACACCCCCTTTTGACTCTGCTGCATTTCTTCTTGGGTACACAGGTTTTTCTATATCCAAGCCAAATGTCATCTCCTTACTGGAACAAGGGAAGGAACCCTGGTTGGCAGAAAGAGATGTGACAGGAAGCCTGTGCCAGGTGAGTGAAGGATGATTAAAGAGGGCAGTGGCACTGTAGCTAATGGCCCAGGTCAGCAGGATGGAGCACCTTTGAGACAATGACTAGAAGGGTCCCGTCAGAGTCCCTAGTGTTCAGAACAGAGCATTACTGCTGTCAGTGTGAGCTCTGGAGGGGACTCTCTTGTACTCACACACACTGCTCCCTGTGCCTGTCTCCATTCAAAGAGGAAGGTACTTCCTTTGAAGTACAACTTTACCTTTCCAGGGAACATTATTTGTTCCCAGTTTCTCCCCCATTCTTTTTTTAATAGTTGGGTCATTACTTCCAACCAAAAGTATGTTTCCAAAAAGTTTATTTTGGTTACAGCCCGATGATTTTTTCCTTTGACATGTTTTTCCAGATTCAGATTTTTACATTCTTTCTTTCACCCTTTCCCTTTTTGGAGAGGGAAGGGAAGAGGCAGAGGGAGAGAGAATCTTAAGCAGGCTCCACACCCAGGGTGGAGCCTGACACAGGGCTTGATCTCCCAACCCTGAGATCATGACGTGAGCCAAAATCAAGAGTTGGATGCTTAACCAGCTGCCCCACTCTTTTCTTTTTTAATAAATATTTAATAAACATTTTAATAAACATCTAATAAAAATTTTTTAATAAACATTTTCTCATTTTCCAGTTTGAGTAAGACTCTGTATTAACCTGGGCCCTAAATTTGCTTCTGATGCATCCTCAGATGTAGGATTACACCAGCCTATAATTTCTGCTGTCAAACATTTCTTAAGCATTTTTTAAAATTCTATATAGTCAAATTTTTTATGATTATTATCACAATTTTGATCATGATTTTTTTCATTCTTGTATGCAGGCTGCATAACACTTTGTGTAGATGTACCATAGTTTATTGAACCACTCTCCTATATGTGGGTGTTTAGACTGTTTTCAGTATTTTAAAATTATGATCATGCTGTAATGAATAGTCTTATGCATATATATTTTCAGGTTGTTGGAAGTATATCATCAGGGTAGATTCCTAAATGTGGGATTTTGGTAGGCAAGACTCATGCTTTTTAAATATCATACTAGGAAATTGCCTAACAAGTATGCCCAATTGCTGTTTCATTTTCTAGAGGATTTGTACCTTTGTCTGACTTACTGTTTACTATTGATTAGGACCTAGACTCATGCAATTAGCTTGTTAACGTGGACATTGCTGGCCAGCAGAAAAAATAACCCCAAATGCTATGATTTTCACACTCTGTATGAAATTAACCAGTTTTTGATGTATTAGCAAGCTCATTTCAGCATTTGTTTGTGTTTGTGTATTCATTTATTGACTTCTTTGAAGCAGCTTTGCCATCATGCTGGTTCCTTATTAAGGAGTTAAATAATTCTGACAAACCTTATGAATGCAAGCAATATGGGAAGGCTTTCCACCACTGTTCTGATCTTCCTCAACATCATAGAATTCACACTGGGAAAGACCCTGTGAATGTAAAGAATGTGGAAGGGCCTTTAGTCCAGTTTCACTCTTTACCCAACATCAGAGAATTCATACTGGTGAGAAAACCTACACATGTAAGGATTGTTTAAAAAAAAAAAAAAGCTGTATTTGGCTCTCAAAACTTAATGTACATTACAGAGCTCATACTGGGGGAAATTCTATCAATATACTGAATGTGCATAAGCTTTTAGTCACTTCTCACTAATTATTCAACATGAGAGAATTCATACTGGAGAAAAACCCTGGCTGTAAGGAATACAGAAAGGCCTTTAGTGGTATCACACAACTTAATGAACATCAAAATATCCATACCAGTGAGAAGTCATATAAATGTAATGAATGTGGAAAGACCTTTAGTTATCATTCATATCTACCTCAAATCAGAGGATCCATCTAGTGAGACAGCTTATAAATATAAGGTTTGTAGGAAGGCCTGTATGCAGGGCTCACAACTTTATCATCACCAGAGAATTCAGACTAGTGGGAAACCATATAAATGTAATGAAAACTTTTAGTTGGATTTCACAATTTAATGAATATATTAGCAACTATACTGATGAGAACCTGTATCAATGTACTGAATGTGGAAAAGCTTTTAGTCACTTAACACTAGTTATTCAATGTCAGAAAATTCATACTGGTGAAAAGCCCTATGTATGTAAGGAATGTGGGAAAGCCTTTAGTCAGTGTTCACAACTTACTCAACATCATTCTTTATGTATGTAGTAATGTGGGAAGGCTTTCAGATACTGTCATCTTCCTTAACCTGAAGGAATTCATGCTACAGAAAATTCCTATAAATATGTGAAGGGAAGACCTCACTGGTTTTTTTCCTCACGGAACATCAAATAATTCATGATTATGTATAACCTTGTCCAATATGGAAATGCTTTTTGGTTCAACTCATGTTACATTTATCAGCGGATTCACATCATCACATTCACCGCTAAAGGCCATACTAAAATGGTAATGTAAAAGTCCCCCAATACCACCTATCAATTGTTATTCATTGCAAAATTCATGCTGGCAAGCAACCAGGTAAGTGGAGAAATTTTGGAAACCCATTACCTTAAGCCAACCCTAATCTACATAAAAGGATCATATGAGAAAGTAACCCTTTAAATGCCATACATGTGGGAATTTCTTTAGGCATAAGGCTCTTTAATTTATTTTTAGAGATTTTATTTATTTATTTATTTGTTTATTTAAAAGATTTTATTTATCTATTTGACAGAGAGAGAGAGAGACAGCGAGAGAGGGAACATAAGCTGGGGAGCGGGAGAGGGAGAAGCAGGCTTCCTGCTGAGCAGGGAGCCCAATGCGGGGCTCGATCCCAGGACCCTGGGATCATGACCTGAGCTGAAGGCAGATGCTTAACGACTGAGCCACCCAGGTGCCCTGAGATTTTATTTATTTGACAGAGAGAGAGAGAGAGAGAGCACAAACAGGGGAAGTTCCAGGGGGTAAGGGAGAAGCAGACCCCTGCTGCCGAGCAGGGAGCCCAATGCAGGGCTCAATCCCAGGATCCTGGGACCATGACCCAGGCCAAAGGCAGACGCTTTACCAACTGAGCCACCCAGATGCCTCTAATTGTGAATAATTATGTGGGAAAGAAATTTCTAATACATTAACATTATTCCTTCCCAGTGTCATATTTTTATATTAATATACACTGACATGCTTACAAACAGTATACTGATTTAGTATTCTTCAGCATTTACTCAATATTATAATGTTGGTATATAGTCCTTCCTTATAATTTTATAGATGCTAATGGGTATCATGGTATCTCATTGTGGTTTTAATCTGCATTTCCTTAATGACTAATGATATTGAGCATTTTTATGCACCTATTTGCCATTACTTAATCTTTAGTGAAGTATCTGCTCAAATCTGTTACCCATTTATAAATTGGTTTGTTTGCCTTTTTTTGAATTTTGAGTGTTCTGTATATATTCCAGATACAAGTACCTATTTGCGTATGTGATATGTAAATAACTTTCTCTAGGCTGTTGTCTTTTCATTATCTTAGTTGTGTTTTTTGAGGGGTAGAAATTCTTAATTTTTTTAAGTACACTCCACATCCAGTGTGGAGCCCAACATGGGGCCTGAAGCTATGACCTTGAGATCAAGACCAGAGCTGAAATCAACAGTCAGACATTCAACCAACTGAACCATTCAGGCACCCCAGCAATTCTTAATTTTGATGAGGTTATATTTATCATTTTTATATTTTATGGTGAAATAGCAAAGAAATCTTTGTTTAACTTAAGGTCACAGATACTTTCTCCTGAAAGTTTTGTAGTTTTAGGTTTTACATTTAGCTCTATTTTGGAGTTAATTTTTGTATATGGTGCAAGAGATGGATCAAAGTTGTTGTTTTCATATAAATATCCAGTTGTTCCAGCACCAATTGAAAAAACATTTTTCATTCTCTACTGAATTGCCTTTGCTTTTTTTCCCCATATCAACTGACCATGTATGTACTGGTTTATTTCTGGGCTCTAATCTGTCTCATTAACCTCTTTTTCTGTCTTTATGCCAATACTTGTCTTGATTACTGTAGCTTTTGCATTTCCCTGTGAATTGTGGAATCAGCATGTTGAATTCTATTTAAAAGCCTACAGGGATTTTGATTGAGATGGTGCTGAACATATAAATGAATTTTGGTGAGAAGTGATGTCTTAATAATATTGAGATTTCCAATGCATGAAGGTAACATATGTATTTCCTCAATATTTCTCTCAACTGTGTTTTGTAACTCTTAGTGTACAGATTATTTAAGTATTTCATATTTTTGGTGCTACTATAAGTGAAAATTATTATAATTTATGGATATGTTACATATCCATAAAGACATATAAATCATTATATATATAATATGATATATAATAATAAAGTTATAAATTATTGTTTTAATTTCAATTCCTAATTTTTCGATGCTAGTATATAGAAATGCGATTGGTTTTTATATATTCATCTTATAATGTGCAACCTTGCTAAACTCATTCAACTCTAAAGTAACTTTCTGTGTAATACATAGGACTTTCTACATAATCATGCCATCTGCAAATAGTTTTACTGCTTTCCAATCTTCCTTCTATTTTTTCCTTGCCTTATCACTGGCTAAAACCTCTGGGACAATGTTTAATACAAGCAGTGGGAACAGACTTCCTTGTCTTTTTCTTATTCTTAGGAGATAAGCATTCATAAATATGATGTTGGTTATAGGTTGTCTTAGTCAGCTTGAGCTGACTATAACAAAACACCTGAGTGGGGCTTAAACAACAAACATTTCTCACAGTTGTGGAGTCGGTAAGTCCAAGATCAAGGTGCTGGCAGTTGTGGTGTCTGGCGAGCCAGGTCCTACAGCTCTTTTGCTGTCTAAATCCATCTCTTCTTGGAGTAGGCCTTGGAACTGTAACATAGGACTTTCTTGTTTCTCCTGCTATCAACTAGTCAATTCTCGATTCTGTGCTATCCATAGGCAATCCATTTCTTCTGTTCCTAGGGCTCTATCACCAAAGTATGTGGTATATATGTGTATATGTGTATGAAATACACATTCATCTCGGGTCCTGAGTTTCATCTACTAAAACCTGTTACACATTTTCAGCTTATGGTTCAAGCTATAGCTCAACTCTAAATGATTCCTTAATAAATGCATCACAAATGTGCTTCATTTCCTCACTTTATATCAACCTAAGTATCACCAAGATTCAAAACTAAAACTATATTCACTCCTATACATCAAAACAACCAATTTAGGTCCTTCTAATGAAAGTTTCTGGTTTGCACAGGTCCATGGAAGCAAGTCTTAGTTCCTCCACTCAAAAGTAAAACTAAAAGTTTCTACACTTTTATTTTTCAAAAAGATTTATTTATTTGATATAGAGCATGCGAGAGAGCACAAGCAGGGAGAGAGGCAGAGGCAGAGGGAGACGCAGGCTCCATAATGAGCAGGGAGAGGCAGAGGGAGAGGGAGACGCAGGCTCCATAATGAGCAGCCCCCAACGTGGGGCTAGATTCCAGGACCCTGGGATCATGACCTGAGCCAAACGCAGATGCTTAATGATTGAGCCACCCAGGCAGGCCAAAAGTTTCTATACTTTTAAACTCAGGAAAGAATTAATATAGCAAGCCTGAGAATGCTCTCCTTAGAAAGTCTTGCTTACAAAGTTGGCCCTCGATGTTCTCTAGCAACTTGGTTTTGGGGAGAATTCCTGCCATTCCTAGAATAAAAGTGGCTCCCTGTGCCTAAATTATTTGTGTGAATGTAGCTTATGCAAAATACCTATCTTCTAAGACTCTGGAATTTTAGCATGTGCTAAAATAGGCAGAGGGAACCTTTGTGACCAGCTTCCAGTAAAACCCTTAGGTAGCGAATCTCTATTATTGTCCAGCCAACATCTCATACATATGTCACAACTTTCAGCTATTAGAATTAAGCACATCCTACGTGACTCTTGTATCTAGTTTCCTCCAGACTTTGCCCCATGAGACTTTTCTCTTTGCTGAATCTTAGCTATTGTGCAGTAAAGAGTTTAACCTTTCCCAAAGAGATCTAGTCTTTGCTCTTGGCTCCTGGGAGGTGATCTGACTCCTTGAAATGTCATGCCTAATAAAAGTAAAGTATTTCTGTTTACGTAAGAAACTTGAACCATACCAGACAGTCAAACAATGTGATTTATGGTGGGGTATCAGTGTGACCTCCGCAGGGCCTAGAGACTGAGGTGAGCCACATAAGCAACCCACCATATTTTTGACAGAGCCCCAATAAAGAGTGGACACCTAAGGTCAGGTAACCTACTGTTGTAGGACAAATGGAAGCTTTGCATCTAGAATCCTCCTGGACTCTGCCCCATCAATCTCTTCGCTTGGCTGATTTTAATATGTATCCTTTCATAAACCATGAGTAGAAGTTTTTATTAAGTTTTGACTCCTTCTAGTGAATTATCAAACCTGAGGGTGATCTTGGGGACCCCTGAATGTGCAATTTGTATCAGAAATGAGGGTGCTCTTGGGGACTACTCCCTAACTTTGTAGACATGAGTACAACTTTATGGTTGAGTCCTGTGACTACTCCTAGTGAGTCATCAAACCTGGAGGTGATCTTGGGGACCTGTAACACTTGGGCCAGTTTTTAAAAAAGAATAAGTGTTTGTTAGTGAGTAAATGATCAATTAATACATCCATCTGGACAATCAGATAACTTTTCAGGTCATTTTAAAATAAACAGCAGTAGCAAAGAATATGTTTCATAAAAATATAGAGCCTCACGCAAGACCGAAGAAATAAGGGCGAGCTAGTGAGGAACAGGATCAGGAGTTAAAAAGAACCTTACCAAAGATAATGAAGAAAGACACACCTATAGTTTCTGAGGCTGTAGGCATTTATAAAGGTCAATGTAAATGTTGGGTGATTGCAGAAGATGACTAGTATTCCTGTAGGAACTCAAATTCAAGAAGCCTCAATTTCTGCACATGCCTGAAACATCTGAAGAGAGCATCTTTCATATCCTAAAGGTGCTGCCCTCTAGAATCAGCTGGTCTGTGATATGCATGGCTTACCCCTACCTGGTTCCTCTTACCCACTTGGCACTGGGACTCTCATCTCTTATTTCCCTATCATTCAGGGCAGTTTCCCATGCTCTAATAGTGAAACTACATCAGACTTATAAATGAAAGACCTGTGAAAATAGGGAGAAAGAATTGGCCATGCTGTTGTTACTTAAGTGTTCTGACACAGCCATATTGTAATAAGGACAGAGGCCATTAAAAAACAAGAAAAGTCTTGGTGAGTATCTGGCAGATGGGATAAAGAAAGCTGCTCACATTTCATGGAAAATCAGAGCCTTACCAAAGAGTCCCAGTAGAACAAGAAGACACACCCAAGATCAGATGCTAAATTAAGGGTTGGATGCACTTACCCACCCAAACCAAATTCTGATAATTCTCCATCACTGTAATGTACAAATCTCTTTGAGCAGGGTTCAGTAATCCCCATTCTTCCTTGGAGAAGCCAATGACCACATCTTTGAATGTCACTGATCCCTGAAATGACAAAACAGAGCCTTAAAAGAGCCTAATTAAATGATAGGAAGTTGGGAGGCATGGAAAGGAGCTGATCAGAAATCTGTGTCTCTTAAGAGCAGCTTAGCTAAATCACTAAAGGGCAATACTGTGACATACTATTTGTTCACTAAAATTTGGGTGCAGAAAAATATTTAGTGATAAGGGAAAAGTTCAAGATAAACAGAGTGATTAAAAAGAACTGAATACCTATCACAGTTGTTTCTAGAATCCTACATATGCATAACAGGAACACACCCAGACTCTGCTGAAAGCCACTTGTAATCAATTCTACTTTAGTCAATCTAAAGTAGATTACGTATAGTGGATCTCTAGGAAGACTATCAGGCTAATTCACTCTTTTTGCCAAAATGAAATGCAGTCCCCCTTTCCTTGAAACTGGGTTGGGCCTACAACTTGCTTTAATCGACAGAATGTGACAGAAGTGACTCTGTGTCAGTTCCAGGGCAGAAACTAAGAAGGCTGTTTTACCCTCACGGAAGCCAGGGAAGGAGTACAGCCATCCCACTGGAAAGGCCATTAAGAAGCCAAATGAAGAGGGACAGGTTCTGAGACTACAAGAATAAAGCTGAGGAACCCAACTGGCAGCAAAAATAGAGGCCTAGACACAGGACCTACCTATAGAACTTCCAGTTAGGTATCACACTTTGAATGAAGAGGCCATCTTGGGTATTCCAAGCCAGCAGTTACCCAAAACAGGTAAATCATTCCTGTCCTGCCCAGTTTGAATTCCTCACCCCCAGAAACATAGGAAATAATAAAATGGTCCTTGCTCTAGCTGCTACTACATTTTAGGTAGAGTTTGTTATGTAGCAACAAACGTTAAAGACATTTAAAAAGAAAACCTCTGGCCCAAAATGGTGTCACCAAATCGGTGCTTAATAACTAACCTAAATGCACTTTCATCCTCTCCCAGAAATGTAGTCTTAACCTGTCAGGCAGGAACTTTCTGGTCACCACAACAGTAATCTGTCACATGGGTACTCTATCCCCCAAAGGAAGAAGAGATAATCCACCTAAGACCTCCTGCCATTCCCCCAAGGGAAGATGACCTTGTCTGGAACAACCCTTTCTTTTCTTTTGCTAATAACTTTCTCAACCCACCCCCCTTCCAATATAAACTTTCCATATTGTAGCACTCCTCAGTACTCCCTGTACTCGCTAGTTTGCTGCCAGATTCATGAATCGTTTAATAAAGTCAATTAGCTCTTCAATTTACTCAGCTGGATTTTGTTTTTTAACAGTGCCTCCGAAACCGGAGCAGATTTGTCCCCTCATCCGCCTCCACCCGAGCCCGCAACAGGAGCAAGGAGTTCGGTCCATCTCCAGCTGCTTATGGAGAACGAGTCAGGGAAGGACGGAGGATGCCTAGCTTATAGCTAGTCTTCCTTTCCAATAGTCCAAGGCTTCATTAAATCCTCACACGATGCTGATTCACAACGGTTTCAATCACCTCTAACCGCCCTGCACGGTCCTCTCCAGATACACCTCCACTGCACCCTCTGCTTGTACCAGTATCACAGAAAGCCAACACTTAGGAAATTTTACGGTATTGAACATGGAATGAGAGGATCGGAGCCCCGGCCGCCCCCGCCCAAGCCTCATACCTGACCTGGCAACACGCGGAGTGGTGTAAACACCACCAAAAGAACGAGAGGAGACCAAGCACCCGACCAAGGTCTCCCAGCTTCCGGGCCGACCGGAAGCGCTGCTTCATAGCCCGTCACCTTGAGCTTGCCGCGGTGGCTTCTGGGAGTCCTCTAAGCTGTGTTGTGCGCATGCGTGCCTCCACCGCCGTGGTTCCCGGAGTCCTGAACGCCCCGGGGTCCTGGCCAGCCAGAGGCCGACCTTCAGTAGCGAAGGGCGGATGTAGAACCGGGAGTGCCTGAATTGGTAAACGAGCCAGAAGCGCTCATCCAAAAAAGGGTGGTCTCTTCTCCCCGTGTCTCGGGACTGGCATAGGTTGTGGGGGGAACGTTGTCGTGGATGAGAACGCGCATGCGTAGTGGCGACAGCGGAGGCGGGGCCTCAGCTCACTGTGTCTCCGGTGTGGAACGCGGTCGCGGGTGTTGGAACACGCATGCGTGCGTTCGTGGGGGCTGCAGGGGGTGTGTGTGGAGGGGTTGTTGCGCGGGCGCAGAGTACCCCGCCGCCGCGCTCTGGAGTGCCAGAGGCGTTCTGGAGTCGCAGGTACAGGGGCTTCCGCGCGCTGTGGCGTAGACTCTGGGGGAGCGTCCGTGGTGGCGGGTACTGGTGGTTGCTGCGGGTGTGGGACCGGGGTGTGCGTTGGGGTGTGGGTGTCTCTCGTGTGGCCCTGGAGGCGCCAGCGTGGGTGTTGCGTGGACCACTCTTGGAGCTCCGGAGAGGCTCTGTGACTTTTCGCTGCTCCTGTGTAAAATGGGACGCTGCTTCTTTGAACAGCTAATAGTGTCGTGAGGAGGAAATGCCCGAAATGGTGCCTGGCCCCAAAGAAGCAGGGGTCTGGTTGGAGTGGAATGATTTGTCTTTCTTTTTTTTTTTTTTTCCCAGCCAGATCCGGGGTTTCAGAATCAACCCTGGCACTTAAATCTGTCAGACGAGGAAAACCCGATCTCTGTTTTATAGCAGTTGTGCTGGTTAAAGAAAGATGAGGGCGCACTTCGGTTATGATAGTACCGCTGTTACTGTTGCTAAATGTGGGATAGACATAGGCGTGGAGAAGTGAATGAAGCGTGCACCTGAACAGCTGTGGAACGTGCAGGGAGTTGTACTTGCAGCCACTGGCGTTCACCGCTCCTTCAGATTCTGCCCCAGAGCTCTCTTCCGAATTTCATATCAGGCCTAGACCCAAATTAGGTTGATCCTGGTTCTTTTTCTTTCATGGGCCGACTGTACCAAAGTCCCTCAGTCATTAGTGTGTGGGTAATTATGTGTGGCTGTGCCTGTTCTGTCCCCAAGGATAGATGTTTTTATCTTTTAAAAATGCTTTATTAAAATACGTACAAATCATAAGTGTATATTGTAATATATCATTTTTTAATGAAGCAAATTTAATTTTAATATTCTGATTTATTACTTGCCCGATGTTAACCTTCAAAATAAAACTCAGTTATTTTACGGGCAAAAACGGGTTTTTTGTTTGTTTGTTTGTTTGTTTTTTTCAGGAGTACCAAATACTCGCAATTAGGGATATGCAAGCTAGGGCAAAACCACAGGCAAGTCCAGAGAATAAAGGTGAGGAAGGGAAAAGAGAGGAACACTCTTGTATACAGGAAAGGGGAGAGTTGGGAGGACTAACAGAAAGGCCATGGGAATAAACTTGAAGTTAGGAGTATAGTGGCTTCTCATTGGCTGGGCTATTGCTGGGGGAGGAGGAAAACCTTCCCTCCACATGCTGGGACAGTAGTCTCCAAGTGCAGGGTCCCTTTTTACCTGTTTGGTCTGCAATTGACCAGGAGTGGTGGGACATGAGAGCTCCTCCTGCTGGCTTCCCTCCATGTTAGTGAGGTTTCCTTTTATTAATTTTCACACTAAAATAGCTGAAAACTATTTTACTTAGTTCTCAAATTCTTTCATTAACAATATCACAAGTTCGTGTGTTAAGTTGTCTCTTCCTTACACTTGGTTCAAAAAACCGTGCAGAAGGGGCACCTGGGTGGCTTAGTCAGTTAAGCGTCTGCCTTCAGCTCAGGTCATGATCCCAGGGTCCTGGGATCAAGCCCTGCATTGGGATCGCTGCTCAGTGGGGAGCCTACTTCTCCCTCTCAAACTCCCCCTGCTTCTCCCTCTCTCACTCCCCCTGCTTGTGTTTCCTCTCTTGCTGTATCTCTCTCTGTCAAATAAATAAAAATCGTAAAAAAACATCCTGCAGACAACGACCTTGAGAAAAGTGCCGTTACCCTGCAGGTCCTATCTCTCCTCAATATATTACTTGTCCTACCTGGGGATTTTTTTTCCAGCGCAGAAACTCTCCAACAGTTTATATTCTTACGTCATGTGTAGCTTTACTGGTAGACTCTGGGTAGGCAGGCCTGTTTCCATTCATGCCTAAAGTGTCCAGTGCCCTTCTTCTTGAGCATTCATTATACTCTTAGAAAACTTTGTTCAGCAAATCAAGTTGATACCTTACTTATTAATTGGAAATACTCTTTGTACCTAATTTCTGTAAGGAAAATTGCTGTGAGAAATTTTTTTATACCTGGCTGAATCACTTTCTCATCCATACCTTTTTTTTACTTTGATGGGTCCATTTCTCTTAAAAATAGAGGACAGAAGCAAATGGCAAAAGATGTGAAGACAAGAAGTAGGAAAGAATTGAAATGGTCAAAAGAAAGACAAGATGAAAATGACTTTATCCCAGTGAACTTGAAGTCATTTCCTTGCAGTGTAAGCTCAGTGAGGCCACGTGGGAGTGGTACCACAGCTGGGGTTCCCACCACATCTGGCAGACTCTAGGGATTCTACCTTTTCCATTACCTCATGGTGTTTAGTTGAAAGTTCATAGTCCTCCAGTGTCCTGTAATGACTAGACCACAACAGGAATGAATTTGATACTGGAAGCAGCATTTTATGAAGGACTTTGATAAACTGGAACTATACTAAGGTGGGAGACCCGGATGATGGAGAGCCTGGAAATTATGGTCTCATGGGAAGGGTTGGAAAAATCTGTGTATGTTTGTCTGGAGAGGAGATAGTTGCAGAGCTATGTGGAAGTATGTCTCTGGTAAAAAGGAATTTAAATTGCTGTTTTCTTCTATGGACTCTAGAGCTAGAACGAGGTAGAAATGATAGAGTAACAAATTCTGACTAAAATACCTTTTTTAGGGGCACCTGGGTGGCTCAGTCGGTTAATCGTCTGCCTTCACCTCAGGTCATGATCTCTGTCCTGGGATCAAGGCCCAAGTCAGGCTCCCTCCTCAGCGGGAAGTTAGCTTCTCCCTCTGCCCCTCCCGCTGCTCATGCTTGTGCTCTTGCGTGCTTACTCTCTCAAATAAATAAATAAAATCTTAAAAAAATAAAATACTTTTTAAAAGTAATTAAAATTTTTATTTTTTTAAATTTTATATTATCGTGTTATGTTAGTCACCGTACAACACATCATTAGTTTTTGATGTGGTGATCCATGATTCATTGTTTTCGTATAACAGCCAGTGCTCCATGCAGTGCTCCATGCAGTACGTGCCCTCCTTAATACCCATCACCGGGCTAACCAATCCCCCCACTCCCCTCCCCTCTAAAACCCTCAGTTTGTTAGAGTCCATAGTCTCTCATGGTTCATCTCTCCCTCCGATATCCCCCCCTTCATTTTTCCCTTCCTTCTCCTAATGTCCTCCACGCTATTCCTTATGTTCCACAAATAAGTGAAAACATATGCTAATTGACTTTCTCCGCTTGACTTATTTCACTTAGCATCATCTCCTCCAGTCCCATCCATGTTGATGCAAAAGTTGGGTATTCATCCTTTCTGATGGCTGAGTAATATTCCATTGTATATGTGGACCACATCTTCTTTATCCATTCATCTGTTGAAGGGCATCTCGGCTCTTTCCACAGTTTGGCTATTGCGGACGTTGCTGCTATGAACATTGGGGTGCACATGGCCCTTCTTTTCACTACATCTGTGTCTTTGGGGTAAATACCCAGGAGTGCAATTGCTGGGTCATAGGGTAGCTCTACTTTTAATTCTTTGAGGCACCTCCACACTGTTTTCCAAAGTGACTACCAACTTGCATTCCCACCAATAGTGTAAGAGGGTTTCCCTTTCTCCCCAACCTCTCCAACATTTGTTATTTCTTGCCTGGTCAATTTTTGCCATTCTGACTGGTGTAAGGTGGTATCTCCATGTGGTTTTCATTTGAATTTCCCTGACGTCTAATGATGATGAACATTTTTTCATGTGTCTGTTAGCCATTTGTATGTCTTCTTCAGAGAAGTGTCTGTTTATGTCTTCTGACCATTTTTTGACTTGATTATTTGTTTTTTGGGTGTTGAGTTTGAGAAGTTCTTTATAGATCTTGGATACCAGCCCTTTATCTGTAGGTCATTTGCAAATATCTTCTCCCATTCTGTGGGTTGCCTCCTTGTTTTGTTGACTGTTTCCTTTGCTGTGCAGAAGCTTTTTATCTTGATGAAGTCCCAAAAGTTCATTTTTGCTTTTGTTTCACTAGCTTTTGGAGATGTATCTTGAAAGAAGTTGTTGTGGCCGATGTCAAAGAGGTTATTGCCTATGTTCTCCTCTAGGATTTTGATGGATTCCTGTCTCACAGTGAGGTCTTTTTGAGTTTAGCTTTGTGTGTGGTGTTAGAGAATGTTCAAGTTTCATTCTTCTGCATGTGGCTCTCCAATTTTTCCAGCACCATTTATTGAAGAGACTGTCTTTTTTCCATTGCATATATTTTCCTGCTTTGTCGAAGATGATTTGACCATAGAGATGAGGGTCCATATCTGGGCTCTCTGTTCTGTTCCATTGATCTATGTGTCTGTTTTTGTGCTAGTACCATGCTGTCTTGGTGATCACTGCTTTGTAATATAGCTTGAAATCGGGCAACATGATGCCCCCAGCTTTGTTTTTCTTTTTCAACATTTCCTTGGTGATTCAGGGTCTTTTCTGATTCCATACAAATTTTAGGATTGTTCCAGCACTTTGAAAAATGTCATTGGAATTTTGATCGGGATGGCGTTGAAGGTATTGATTGCTCTGGGTAGCATAGACATTTTAACAATGTTTATTCTTATCCCTGAGCATGGAATGTTTTTCCATCTTTTTGTGTCTTCTTCAATTTCTTTCATGAGTGTTCTGTACTTCCTAGAGTATAGGTCCTTTACCTCTTTGGTTAGGTTTATTCCGAGGTGTCTTATGGTTTTTGGTGCTATTGTAAATGGAATTGTTTTTCTAATTTCTCTTTCTACAGTTGCATTATTAGTGTATAAGAAAGCAACGGATTTCTGTGCATTGATTATGTATCCTGCCACATTACTGAATTGCTGTATGAGTTCTAGTAATTTGGGAGTAGAGTCTTTTGGGTTTTCCACATAAAGTATCATGCCATCTGCAAAAAGAGAGTTTGACTTCTTTGCCAATTTGAATACCTTTTATTTCTTTTTGTTGTCTGATTGCTGTTGCTAGGACTTCTGTTACTATGTTGAACAATAGTGGCGAGAGTGAGCATCCTTGACGTGTTTCCCTTAAGGGAAAGGCTCTCAGCTTTTCCCCGTTGAGGACGATATTCGCTGTGGCATTTTCATAGATTGATTTTATGAACTTGAGGAATGTACCCTCTATCCCTATACTCTGAAGAGTTTTAATCAGGGAAGGATGCTGTATTTTGTCAAATGCTTTTTCTGCATCATTTGAGAGGACCATATGGTTCTTCTCTCTCCTCTTATTAATGTGTTCTATCACATTGATTGATTTGCGAATGTTGAACCACCCTTGCATCCCGGGGATAAATCCCACTTGGTTGTGGTGGATGACCCTTTTAATGTATTGTTGGATCTTATTAACTAGGATTTTGTTGAGGATTTTGGAATCCATATTCATCAGGGATATCAGTCTGAAATTCTCCTTTTTGATGGGGTCTTTGCCTGGTTTGGGGATTAAGGTAATGCTGGCCTCATAGAATGAGTCTGGAACCTTTCCGTTTCTATTTTTTGAAACAGCTTCAGGAGAATAGGTCTTATTTCTTCTTTGAATGTTTGGTAGAATTCCCCAGGGAATCCATCAGGCCCTGGGCTCTTGTTTTTTGGGAGGCTTTTGATCACTGCTTCAATCTCGTTACTGGTTATTGGCCTGTTCAGGTTGTCAATTTCTTCCTGTTTCAGTCTTGGCAGCTTAATAGTTTCCAGGAAGGCATCCATTTCATCCAGATTGCTCAGTTTATTAGCATATAGTTGGTGATAATAATTTCTTTTTTTTTAAGATTTTATTTATTTATTTGAGAGAGAGAAACAGCATGAGAGAGGAGAGGGTCAGAGGGAGAGGCAGGCTCCCCGCTGAGCCGGGAGCCCAATGTGGGACTCGATCCCAGGGCTCCAGGATCATGACCTGAGCCGAAGGCAGTCACTTAACCAACTGAGCCACCCAGGCGCCCGGTGATAATAATTTCTAATAATTGTTTCTATTTCCTTGGTTTTAGTTGTGATCTCTCACCTTTCATTCACAATTTTATTAATTTGGGTCCTTTCTCTTTTCTTTTGGATAAGTCTGGCCGGTGGTTTATCGATCTTACTGATTC